AAAAAAAAGCCAACGCCTTCCACCTGGAAACTGATGTCCTCACTGCGGGAGAACATGTGGGTCAGGAATAGGGCTTCACGGACACTACGGATCCACCGCCAGGACACCAAACTTGGAGGACCATCATCCTCGGACTACGAGGGATCGCCTAATGGAATGGAACGCAGGATGGGACACATCTGGGGAGCTGGAAAAGGGCCCTCAAAAACATCTATTTTGGATGTGAAGCAATACGAGCGGACCAGGACAAACAATAATAAGGATCTAGCTATAGAATCATATTTACGAATTTTAGAATATCGTTGAGCGGAAAAAAGCCTTGATGGGCGACTTCCTTTCTGACATGTTTATCATTGGAACACAGGATGTGGCAAACCCGAAAGCAGCGGGTGCAGAAACTTTGAAGAGAGGCTCTCATCTTTCATGATATGACCAAATACAGGTAGTCTAGATGCCCTTTGGGGGGGCCCTTCCGACTATAGAGCCTTATGGGTTCCCTTTGAAGAGAGGCTGTCATCTTTCAGGAGAGCTTTCATTCTACAACCAAATAGAGGTGGTCTAGATGCCCTTTGGGGGGCCCTTCCGACTATTAGAACATTACCGACTCCCTTTGGAAGCAGATGGACTCTGTTGGACAGAGTTGGATGGACATCTTTCAGAAGGGATTTCCTTATATGACTGAATGGTCTAGATGCCCTTTGGAGGCCCCTTCCAACTATTACAAGATGATAGTAATGGACTTCCTTGGAAGCAGTTGGACTTCCCTTTGAAGAAAGGCTGGATGACCATCTTTCGGGAGAGCTTTCATTATACAACCAAATAGAGGTGGTCTAGATGCCCTTTGGGGGGCCCCTTCCGACTATTAGAACATTACGGACTCCCTTTGGAAGCAGGTGGACTCTGTTGGACAGAGTTGGATGGACATCTTTCGGGAGAGCTTTCATGATATGACCTAATAGAGTTGATCTAGATGCCCTTTGAGGCCCCTCTTCCAACTATTAGAACATTATGGTCCCCCTTTGGAAGCAGATGGACTCTTGGACAGAGTTGGATGGACATCTTTCGGGAGAGCTTTCATTATATGACTTTTAAGGGTCCCCTTCCAACTATAGAGCATTATGGATTCCCTTTGAAGAGAGGCTCTCGTCTTTCCTTATATGACCAAATAGAGGTGGTCTAGATGCCCTTTGAGGCCCCCCTTCCAACTATTAGAACTTTATGGATTCCCTTTAGAAGCAGATGGACTCTGTTGGACAGAGTTGGATGGACATCATTCAGAAGGGATTTCCTTATATGACCGAATGGTCTAGATGCCCTTTGGGGGCCCCTTCCAACTATTAGAAGATGATAGTAATGGACTTCCTTGGAAGCAGTTGGACTTTGAAAAGAGGCTGGATGAACATCTTTCAGGAGAGCTTTCATGATGTAGTTGGTCTAGATGCCCTTCAGGGACCTCCTTTCAACTATTAGAGGAGTCCCTTTGGAAGCAGGTGGACTCTCCTTTGGACAAAGTCAGATGGACATCTGTTGGGAGGGTTTGCATTATATGAACTAATGGCCTAGATGCCCTTTGGGGTCCCCCTTCCAACAATTAGAGTGTTGTATGGACTCCTTTGAAGAGAGGTTGGGTGGCCCTCATGATATAGTTGGTCTAGATTACCTTTGGGGGCCCCTTCCAACTATTAGAGCGTTATGGACTCCCTTTGGAAACAAGAATAGAGTCGAATGGACATCTTTCAGGAAGGTTTTCGCTATATAACCAAATGGTCTAGATGACCTTTGGGGGCCCCCTCTTCCAACTATTCATCTGGAGGCCTTTCACCAGTGGCTGGACAGATGGGCATCTGTCAGGAGGGCTTCAAATGGACTTGATGGCGTTCAGGGGTCCTTTCAAATGGCACGATCCCATTCAAACACACGAGTGATGGGCTGAAACGTCAGGCAAGAGAAGGCTGCTTCTTCGCACGAGGAGCACTCACCGTTGTGCAGTGAAGGCTTCGTTGTAGCTACCGTCATGTGAGACTCTGATGGAAGGCGGGGAAGAAAGGCAGAGCCGGAAGAGACAGATCAGGCCACAGCGTTCATGCAAGGCTTCCTCAAAAGTAGAGCTAACACAGACGCACTAGTGCAAGCTAGAATCGTGCAACAGTCACCAACACACTTGAATGGCAAAGTCCTCCGGCAGCAGCTGCTGTGAACGATGGAACTCTGTTCTCCTAGGGAGCATTCGGACCACTCCAAAGCACTAGTGCAAGAAGGGATTGCGATCCAGCTCTTGCTTGTGTCTGTTGTGCAAGAAAACACTTGTGTGACAGAGACAGGGACATTAATATTATTAGACCCTTGCTTGTGTCTGTTGCACAAGAGACTCTTGTGTGACAGGGACAGGGAGATCATTATTATTATTATTATTAGACCCTCGTTTGTGTCTGTTGCACAAGTGACTCTTGTGTGACAGAGACAGAGACATCATTATTATCATTATTAGACCCTTGCTTGTGTCTGTTGCACAAGAGACTTGTGTGACAGAGAAGGGGACATCATTGTTGTTATTAGACCCTCGTTTGTGTCTGTTGCACAAGTGACTCTTGTGTGACAGAGACAGGGACATCATTATTATCATTATCAGACCCTTGCTTGTGTCTGTTGCACAAGAGACTCTTGTGTGACAGAGAAGGGGACATCATTATTATTGTTATTAGACCCTTGCTTGTGTCTGTTGCACGAGACTCTTGTGTGACAGAGAAGGGGACATCATTATTATTGTTATTAGACCCTTGCTTGTGTCTGTTGCACAAGAGACTCTTGTGTGACAGAGAAGGGGAGATCATTATTACCGTTATTAGACCCTCGCTTGTGTCTGTTGCACAAGAGACTCTTGTGTGACAGAGAAGGGGACATCATTATTATTGTTGCTTGTGTCTGTTGCACCCTTGCTTGTGCAACATAAAAGGGCATATAATAGTAATAATCACTAGGTCTTTGTTTGTGTCTGTTGCACCAGAGACCCTCGTGTGACAGGAAAGGAAACACTATCATCATTATTATCCTAGCCTATGTCTGCTGCACAAGAGACTCTTGTGTGTCAAAGAAGAGCATATTATTATCAGGTCCTTGCTTGTGTCTGTTGTGTAAAAGACTCTCGTGCGACGGAGAAGGGGACATTATGGCTCTGTTGCACAAGAGTCTTGTGCGACAGAAAAGGAATGATTATGTTAATTATGATCAGGTCCTTATTTAAGTCTGTTCACCATTGACTCTCGTACAACAAAGAAGGGGACATTATTATTACTATGTCCTTGCTTGGGTCTGTTGCACAACAGAGTCTCGCACAACAGAGAAGGGCTGATGATGATGATGATGATGATGATGATGATCAGGCCCTTGCTTGGATGTGTTGCACCAGATACCCTCGTGCGACTGAAAAGGGGACACCATCATAATTATTATCAGATCCATGCTTATGTCTGTTGCACCAGAGACCCTCGTGTGACAGAGAAGGGAACATTATCATCATTATCAGGTCCTTTCTTTTGTCTGTTGCATCACAGAACCTTGTGTGACAGATAAGCTGTCTTGAGTGGGGTATAAATAAGGTAAATAAACAAATAAGGTAATTAATAGGCCCTTGGTTGTGTCTGTTGCACAAGAGACTTGTGCAACAGAGAAGGGGACATTTCTTCTTCTTATAATTAATAGGCCCTTGCTTGTGTCTATTGCACAAGAGACTTGTGCAACAGAGAAGGGGACATTTCTTCTTCTTATAATTAATAGGCCCTTGGTTGTGTCTGTTGCACAAGAGACTTGTGCAACAGAGAAGGGGACATTTCTTCTTCTTATAATTAATAGGCCCTTGGTTGTGTCTGTTGCACAAGAGACTTGTGCAACAGAGAAGGGGACATTTCTTCTTCTTATAATTAATAGGCCCTTGGTTGTGTCTGTTACACAAGAGACTTGTGCAACAGAGAAGGGGACATTTCTTCTTCTTATAATTAATAGGCCCTTGCTTGTGTCTGTTGCACAAGAGACTTGTGCAACAGAGAAGGGGACATTTCTTCTTCTTATAATTAATAGGCCCTTGGTTGTGTCTGTTGCACAAGAGACTTGTGCAACAGAGAAGGGGACATTTCTTCTTCTTATAATTAATAGGCCCTTGGTTGTGTCTGTTGCACAAGAGACTTGTGCAACAGAGAAGGGGACATTTCTTCTTCTTATAATTAATAGGCCCTTGGTTGTGTCTGTTACACAAGAGACTTGTGCAACAGAGAAGGGGACATTTCTTCTTCTTATAATTAATAGGCCCTTGCTTGTGTCTGTTGCACAAGAGACTTGTGCAACAGAGAAGGGGACATTTCTTCTTCTTATAATTAATAGGCCCTTGCTTGTGTCTGTCGCACAAGAGACTTGTGCAACAGAGAAGGGGACATTTCTTCTTCTTATAATTAATAGGCCCTTGCTTGTGTCTGTCGCGCTAGAGTCCCTCGTGTGACAAAGAAGAGCACATTATTATTGTTTATTCATTAGCATAGTAATAACATGTCTTATACTAGTCAATGGGAGAACGGAGCTACATCGCTTGCAGCGGCTGCTGAATTGCAAAGCACGATCAACACTCATGATCAAAGCAACTGACCCAGGATTCCGTCCCGCAAAGCTTTGTTATCTCATTCCATCGTATTCTGTATAACTCACCACAGAGATCCCGCAAGGGCCGTGTGCTGGAGGCGGTGCTGATGGGATTCCTGGCTGTGCAAGAGATAGTCAGGTTCTCTCCCTTCCCTCTGCCATCGTAGACATCCAGGGTCCTTCCGGAATGTTCCTTTTGCCCATTGGCACCCATCTGGAACGTGACGCCTTCCTCCGACTCTCCCGCGGAGCAGTTCAGCCTCCAAGTCTCATTCCCGATGGCTTCGCAATGGATTTGCACGTCTGAATCTAGCAAATGCCCTGGAAGAACATTCAAAAGAGAGTGAATGAGTGCAAAACAGGAGAAGCACTGGGAACTGAAGGCTCGACAGGCGTGGAGGCCATTCCTTTTCTGTTCCTGCTTGGAAAGTGCTGTTTCCTGTTTAATTGTTTGGTCCTTACTTCGACAGTTGTCATTCTACTCCAGAAACTTTGTTTTTGTGGCTAACACAATGTTGAATGAGTTGAGACCCGACGATGAGAGATTCATTGCCAAACTGGAGCCAAATGTGCTCTAGTGGGATGATGTCCCTCCCTCTCGCAAAGACAAAATTTCTGGAGTTTAAAACAGTGAGTCCCAAAGAGGGGAAGCACCGGGACCTGAAGGCTCGACAGGCATGGAGGCCATTCCTTCTCTGTTTCTGCTTGGAAAGCATTATTTCCTGCTTAATTGTGTGGTCCTTACTTTGTGACCGTACCTCGTGAAGTCAGATCTGACCAGGTGTTCCATGCCTTAGTCACCTTCAGATTGGATTACTGTAATGCACTCTGTGGGGCTGCCCTTGAAAAAGGCCCGGAAATTTCAACTGGTACGACGGGCGGCAGCTAGGTTACTAACTGGAGCGACTTACCCTGTTTAAGGAGCTCCATTGGCTGCCGTTCATTTTCTGGACCCAATTCAAGGTGCAGGTTCTGACCTACAAAGCCCTGAACGGTTTGGGACCTGCCTACCTGCGTGACCGCATTTCTGTGTACGAACCCACACAATCTCTTCGATCATCTGGAGAGGCCCTGCTTGCACTCCCGCCTCCTTTACAGGCACGATTGGTGGGGACGAGGGAGAGGGCCTTCTTGGTGGTGGGCCCCCGACTCTGGAACTCACTTCCCAAGGAGATCAGGCATGCCCCAACATTGGCAGTCTTTAGAAGGAGCCTGAAAACGTGGCTATTCCAGTATGCCTAACCAAAATAAGGAAACTTCCCAGCAATATGTCTTCAGAATGCACTTTACTACTGGTTTAGGATTGACTATTCTCCCTCATCTCTTTTAAAACCCTATACCGCATATATCCTACCTCGTTCATGCCCAGTGTTTATTTTTTTAAATTTTAAACTATTACATTTGGCCCAGCCACAGGTTTTTAAATCCTTGTGTGTTACTGTTTATTGGTTATTGTTTATATGTGATTTATATTAATTGTATTGTATTTATTCTTTTTATTGATGTGTTGTTGGACTTGGCCTCATGTAAGCCGCTCAGAGTCCCTTGGGGAGATGGTGGCGGAGTATAAATAAAATTATTATTATTATTATTATTATTATTATTACTTTGAAAGTTGTTGCTCTACTCCAGAAACTTGGTTTTTGTGGCTACCACAATGTTGAATGAGTTGGGACTCGACAATGAGATTCATTGCCAAACTGGAGCCAAATGTGCTATAATGGGATGATGTCCCTCCCTCCCTCCCGCAAAGACAAGATTTCTGCAGTTTAATACAATGAGTCCAAAACAGGGGAAGCACCGGGACCTGAAGGCTTGACAGGTGTGGAGGCCATTCCTTTTCTGTTCCTGGTTGGAAAGCGTTGTTTCCTGTTTAATTGTGTGATCTTTGTTTTGAATGTTGTCATTCTACTCCAGAAACTTTGTTTTTGTGGCTAACACAATGTTGAATGGGTTGAGACTCAGCAATGAGCAACTCATTGCCAAACTGGAGCCAAATGTGCTATAATGGGATGATGTCCCTCCCTCCCGCAAAGACAAGATTTCTGCAGTTTAATACAATGAATCCAAAACAGGGGAAGCACCGGGACCTGAAGGCTTGACAAGTGTGGAGGCCATAAATAAATAAATAAATAAATAATAAACTTTATTTGTACCCCGCTAGCATCTCCCGCAGGACTCGATGCGGCTTACAAAGGCCAAGGCCTCAACACAACAACAACAAAACAATAACAATACAATTTAAAGCAAATTAAAACATAAGCAATAACAAACATTACATCATTACGCAATAAAAACCAGGGTTAAAAAGTGCTGGGTGTGGCAAGTGGTATGTTGGATTTCCAGGCAAGTGCAATGTGCAGAGAGTCTTAAACTCTAATAAAGTGCTTCTGGGACGTAGTGCTGGAGATTATCCTATTCCGGAAAGGCACATCGGAATAGCCAGGTCTTCAGATTCTTCCTGAAGACTGCCAACGTGGGTGCTAGTCTAATGTCTTTGGGGAGGGTGTTCCAGAGTGAGGGGGCAATCACAGAGAAGGCCCTGTCCCTCATCCTCACCAAATGTGCCTGTGACGTAGGTGGGATCGCGAGCAGGGCCTCTCCGGATGAACGGAGGGAACGTGTGGGTTCATATACGGAGATGCGGTCACGCAGGTAGGCAGGTCCCAAACCGTTCAGGGCTTTGTAGGTAAGCACCTGCACCTTGAATTGGGCTCGGTAGGTAAACGGCAGCCAATGGAGCTCCTTGAACAGGAGGGTTGACCTCTCTCTGTAAGGCCCCAGTTAACATCCTGGCCACTGCCCGTTGAACCAGTTGGAGTTTCCGAGCCGTTTTCAAGGGCAGCCCCATGTAGAGCGCATGACAGTAGTCCAATCTAGAGGTGACCAAGGCATGGACCACCCCGGCCAAATAAAGCTTTGCGAGGTACGGCCGCATTGCTTTTCTGTTCCTGGTTGGAAAGTGTTGTTTCCTGTTTAATTGTGCGGTCCTTACTCTGAATGTTGCCGTTCTACTCCAGAAACTTTATTTTTGTGGCTAATACAATGTTGAATGAGTTGAGACTCAGCAATGAGAGATTCATTGCCAAACTGGAGCCAAATGTGCTCTAGCGGGATGATGTCCCTCCCTCCCTCCCACAAAGACAAGATTTCTGCAGTTTAATACAATGAGGCCAAAACAGGAGAAGCACCGGGACCTGAAGGCTAGCCGTGGAGGAAGGCAAACAACCGTATTATTTGACGGCCTTTAAGAAGGAAAGGGAGATTTGTGGGCAAGGCAAGGGTCCCGATACTCACTGAAGACTTGGAGGCGGAAGAGGAAAATTAATAACTCTTTCTTTTCAGGGATTTGGACCTGAGCCCTGAAAGTGGCCGAGTCCTCTTCTTGCAGGCGGAGGATTTCAATCGTCTTGCAGTCTTCAGAGACATTCAGTCGCCCTTGCAAGCTTATGAGGCTTATGATGGATGAACATTTCTCTCCCTGCTTCAAGACGCCAACGGTATCAACATCCTTTCCCTTCGTTCTCTGCCAAGTAATTATTTCAAATGGTGAGGAAAACTTCAGCTGGAAAGCGACCGACTCCCCAAGAATCCCGGTCACGTTTTTTACATTTTCGTCTTCTTCTCCAAAAGATCCTATAAGTTCAAAAGGAACGGAGAGAATCATTTCAGACAATGGACACCCGTTGAAAAGACCCATTTTGGATTTCAAAGACCCCACAAATAATCATTTTGGAATCCCGCACAAACAAACACAACCTTTCTTGGCCTACACTGTAAAAACTGCAAATAAATAAATAAATACACCAACAAAATTATTACACAGGCCTGTACAACAAGAGGACGTCACAGATAAAAAGGAAAGCATCATTAAGAGTTACTAAGCTCAAGAATAAGATGTGCGATATGTCAGGTAGAAAATGCTGTAATACATAGGAATGCATTGCATGTGCCTCCAGTGTGTGGAAAAATACAGTTCTTATGGACATGTGTTCATCTTCTGAAAGGGTCAAGAGAGTAGAAATGTGGTCCTAAAAGGACAGCTGGGTCTCGCTGGATGGAGAGATGGCAGATATAGTATCATAGAGTAAGAAGAGATCTTGTCCTACCCCCTCCCAAAAAGCAGGAAAATCATATTCAAAGCACCCCTGACAGATGGCCATTCAGTCTCTGCTTCAAAGCCTCCACCACACTCCGGGGCAGAGAGTTCCACTGTCAGCTTCCTCTTTGCCATGTGCTTGTTCTCTGCCATCTTTGTCTCTGCCATGATTTCTCTGCCCCTGTAATCCATCACCAACCTGGATGTGTGAGCGTCTTGCTATGGTTGTGAGTATCTCTGTATATTGTTAGCAGGCCTCTAAATAGTTATATGTAGCAGCAACGACTGAAGAATCAACCTCCAAAGGAGTTTAGGTGAAAGCCGGAGCTCAAGGGCGCTTACTCAAGGGCAGATGTTGGGGTATTAAATCTCTGCTAACTGTGACCAAGACTCTGCAACAGTTTCACATTTTTTTTTTCACAATTTTTAATTGTGAAAAAAATTGTTTGGAAGATAGCAGATTTTATAACACCCTTGTGAAAAAAATTACCAAGTTTCGTCCGTAGGTTATCCTATTTAAAGAAAGAAAGAATGGTGAAGTATTTCACCAGAGACTAAGTCGTGAGAACAAATCCTTTTGGAGCGTCCCATTTGTTTTGTGTCTTTTGTGTGTCAGGAGCTACTTGAGAAACTGCAAGTCGTTTCTGTTGTGAGATGATTGGCCGTCTTCAAGGACAGGGGATGCCTGGATGTTTTACCATCCCGTGGGAGGCTTCTTTCATGTCCCCACATGGGGAGCTGGAGCTGACAGATGGGAGCTCACCATGCTTCATAGATTTGAACCACCGACCTTTCAGTCAGCAGTCCTGCTGGCAGAAAGGTTTAACCCATTGCGCCACTTAGGACTCCGCTGTGCTGTGACCCACCTCAAGTCACAAGGTTTTTGTGTTGTTTTGTTTTGTCATGTCAGGAGCGACTTGGGAAACTGCAAGTCGCTTCTGGTGTGATAGAATTGGCCGTTTGCAAGGACGTTGCCCAGGGGATGCACAGATGTTTTGATGTTTTCCCATCCTTGTGGGAGGCTTCTCTCACGTCCCCGCATGAGGAGCTGGAGCTGACAGAGGGAGCTCATCCGCACTCTCCCCGGATTCGAACCTGCGATCTGTCGGTCTTCGGTCCTGCCGGCACAGGGGTTTAACCCACTGCGCCACTGAGGGTTCCAAGTCACAAGGTGAGGCGGGTAAGAAATAAAAAATTAATAATAATAATAATAATAATTATTATTATTATTATTATATTATTATTATTGCACACCCAACAGAGCTGATGGCAATACATTGCATTTTGCATTCTCCAAAGCTCTCATCTGGGTGGATGAATCAAAATAAACGAAGATAAGCTGTCATAATAACTCCATGCTTGCACGGAATCAGTGACATGGTAGGGGAACATGCTATTTTTACTGCAAGAGTTGGATTATTATAGAAGTCAAGATCCAAATGTCTTCCGTTATGGAATCAATGACGTGGTAGGGGGACAAGTTTTTGCAGGACAAAAGGCTGCTAGAACACACCAGCCATACGGTTGGGAAACCACACAACTCTCCAGTGATTTATTTATTTATCGTGTCAGTATCAACCAGACAATTGTATTACATTTTTAACAAATTTTTAACAAACAGACAAAACAGAGTTTGCAAGCTTGGTAGTTGGTTAAATGTCCTTTGAGCAGTCTCTGTCCCCTTGGAGTGCCTCTGGTGTTGCCGCAAGGAGGTCCTCCCTTGTGCATCTGGCTGGGCTCAGGACGCATTGCAGCAGGTGGTCAGTGGTTTGCTCCTCTCCACACTTGCATGTCGTGGACTCCACTTGGTGGCCCCATTTCTTGAGGTTGGATCTGCGTCTTGTGGTGCCAGAGCGCAGTCTGTTCAGCGCTTTCCAAGTCACCCAGTCTTCTGTGTGCCCAGGGGGGAGTCTCTCATCTGGTATCACCCACGGATTAAGGGTTCTGGGTTTGAGCCTGCCACTTTTGGACTCTCGCTTGCTGAGGTGTTCCAGTGATTTTCTCTGTAGATCTTAGAAAACTATTTCCTGATTTAAGTCGTTGACGTGCTGGCTGATACCCAATCAGGGGATGAGCTGGAGATGTCTCTGCCTTGGTCCTTTCACTATTGGCTGCTACTTCCCGGCGGATGTCAGGTGGTGCAATACCGGCTAAGCAGTGTCATTTCTCCCGTGGTGTAGGGCGCAGGCATGTAATGTTACATGTAATATAAAATATATAATTCTAATATATTATTATTGTTATTAGTTGTAATATTATTGAGGTTCTGGGTTTGAGCCTGCCCCTTTTGGACTCTCTCTTGCTGGGGTGTTCCAGTGAGTGTCTCTGTAGATCTTAGAAAACTATTTCTAGATTTAAGTCGTTGACGTGCTGGCTGATACCCAAACAGGGGATGAGCTGGAGATGTCTCTGCCTTGGTCCTTTCACTATTGACTGATATTTCCCGGCGGATGTCAGGTGGTGCAATACCGGCTAAACAGTGTGATTTCTTCAGTGGTGTAGGGCGCAGACACCCCGTGATAATGCGGCATGTCTCATTAAGAGCCACATCCACTGTTTTAGCGTGGTGAGATGTGTTCCACACTGGGCATGCGTACTCAGCAGCAGAGTAGCCTAGCGTAAGGGCAGATGTCTTCACTGTATCTGGTTGTGATCCCCAGGCTGTGCCAGTCAGCTTTCATATGATATTGTTTCTAGCGCCCACTTTTTGCTTGATGTTCAGGCAGTGCTTCTTGTAAGTAAGAACACGATCCAGAGTGACTCCTCCCAGGGATTTGGGTGCGCTGCAATGTTCCCGTGGGATTCCTTCCCAGGTGATCTTCAGAGCTCGGGATGCTTGTCTGTTCTTCAGGTGAAAGGCACATGTCTGTGTTTTAGATGGATTAGGGATCAGTGGGTTTTCCCTGTAATAGGCAGTCAGAGCACCTAGAGCTTCCAAGAGCTTCTGTTCAACCATCTCAAAGCTCCCTGCTTGAGCGGTGATGGCACGATCATCAGCATAGATGAAACTCTCTGTCCCTTCTGGCAGTGGCTGGTCATTTGTGTAGATGTTGAACATGGATGGAGCAAGCACGCTCCCCTGAGGCAGGCCGTTCTTCTGTTTCCGCCATCTGCTTCTCTGGCCCTGGAACTCAACAAAAAAGCTCCTGTTCTGTAGCAGGTTTCCTATGAGGCGGGTGAGGTGGTCGTCCTTGGTGATACTATACATTTTTCTCAGGAGGAGACAGTGGTTCACAGTCTCATAGGCTGCTGACAGGTCTATGAAGACAGCTCCTCTGATCCCCAGTGATTTTGGCCATGAAAGGGTTTCACGAACCAGAAGTGCTAGGCCTCCACTTGGTCTACCGTATTTTGCAATTTTAATTGCAGGCTTTGTCCATCCTACAAAACCCGGAATTTGGATTGGTTGGTCTGAAGCAAGTAGCCAAGTTTCCTGCAGGGCAACAATTGAGTTCTCAGCCAAAAAGTTGGAAGAGATTATTATTGCATTTTATTATTTTATTTTATTATTTTATTTTATGTCATCACCTTTTGGCCTTGTCTTTCACTTGTATTTTGAAATGGTCATATCACTGGGTTGTTGTAGGTTTTTCTGGGCTATATGGCCATGTTCTAGAAGCATTCTCTCCTGACGTTTCGCCTGCATCTATGGCAAGCATCCTCAGAGATGCTTGCCATAGATGCAGGCGAAACGTCAGGAGAGAATGCTTCGAGAACATGGCCATATAGCCCGGAAAAACCTTAAACAACCCAGTGATTCCAGCCATGAAAGCCTTCAACAATCTAAGGGTCATATGATTGGTCAAATAAATAAATTATGATGATGATTAATGTGCGTGTGAATGATGAGTAAAAATGTAATTCCCCTTTGTTTGTTTGTTTGTTTGTTTGTTTGTTTGTTTGTTAGCCAATGTAACTGTAGGTTGTTTGTGAATCCAATGGAGTTGCATAGAATCTGTATGTCTAAAGTCATTCCTTATTATTAATTTATTATTATTATACCCCTTCTCTTATTAGAAAATTGTAATTAAAAGAACCTATGCTTCAAAGTTATTGAAAAGTTAGTCATAACAGTGCAACACAGGAGGGAACTATTATTATTATTAATTTCTTCTTATTATTATTTTACTGATACAAAAACACAGTATGTCACAGCAATAATAATAATAATAATAATTAATAATAATATATTATTATTAATTCATTATTATTATTATTATTTTACTGACACAAAAGCACAGTATGTCACAGCAATAATAATAATAATAAATATAATGTAATAATTTATTATTATTATTTTACTGACACAAAAACACAGTATGTCACAGCAATATTAATAATAATAATAAATATAATGTAATAATAATAAATTTATTATTATTATTTTACTGACACAAAAACACAGTGTCACAGCAATAATAATATTAATAATAATAATAAATATAATGTAATAATAATAAATTTATTATTATTATTTTACTGACACAAAAACACAGTATGTCACAGCAATAATAATAATAATAATAATAAATATAATGTAATAATAATAAATTTATTATTATTATTTTACTGACACAAAAACACAGTATGTCACAGCAATA